GAATGCATGGTGTGCGTCACATCAAACTTGGTTTGTGGCCTTGCTCGTTGACCGAGCTCTCTCACGCAAAAAAAATTAACCAGAGATCCTAATAGATCCATGTGATTTCTTTAAATTTAGCATTATTGTGTCCTTCGATACTTAGTCAAAGCGATGGTAAGGGGAACAGTCAAGTCTTTCCTGTTCACGCACGTTTTCACGGACTTTTACAGCAAGTGCGGCTCGGTTCAGTGCGGCTGTGAAACAATAGTCCCCGAATCACGAGACATTCGATTCGAAGGAGATAAATCCTTCTATACCAGAATTCCACGACAAAATCAGACTGTTTTTCAAATAATGCTTTGCAGTTCAAAATACCGGAATAATCGATATGATTGCATAAATTCACAAAGTACTTTACACACGCACAGAAGTGTATAATGTTGTCAGGATGAAATAAGCCGGCAGATCCCGAGCTTAGGTTGATTGCTAAAATTCAGAATTTGTCGAAAGATAACATTTCTCAGGTAGACTGATCAGTTTAACTCTCTACACCTAAACATCAGTATACGTATTCCCTACACTGTTTTTTTTTTTACAAATTTCCTTCGGTACTGACAAGGATAATTTAATAAACGATCACTTGAAGAGCTACTTAAATTTAGTTGGTGATCAGTCATTTCCTTCATTATCGTGCACCTTAATGTCTGATTCAGGGATATAAGGAGAAATTAGATGCTGGTCAGTCCAAAAGGCTGAAAGGAAGCAGACTCCGGCGTTGAAAGTTTTCTTTTTCTCTCAGTTTCCTCAGCAAACTAGCGGTAGCTAAAGGAACTCAGTAACGATCATGATTTTGAGTTATGTCACAGCATGATAAAGAGATGTTTTTTTAATACAGTAAGACCTTGAACAAATTCGTTTATTTGGTCAGTGTACTAACTAACCAAACAGAGTAGGATAAAACGAAAAGAAACAAAATCAGTCGAGAAAATGCGAAAATAAACATCATAAATGAAGAGAAGGGGTAAGTTTCTTAAGAAACTGTGGTGCGGTATGACAAAGTAATTTGGTAGTATCAACTGAGTTGATAACGTAAATTGGCCAACGTTAAGAGTTTGAAAGCTGACGTTTCGAGTGTTAGCCCTTCGCTTTAACGAAGGACTAGCGCTCTGACAAAGAGCTAACGCTCGAAACTCAGCTTCAAACTCTTAAATATGGGTAATTTACATTATAAACCGGCTCAGTTGACAATACTAAAATTACCATATTGAGAACTTGAAAAACCTGGGCTAAAATTTTCGGATCGAGGTGGACGAACCTTGAAATACTAGCTCATTCAACTAAAATTTTTTAGTATAATTTGTCGTAAGAGGGGAAAGTGGGGTGCAGTGTATTGAAATAAAGAGAATTTGTAGACGAAAGAGTTTTTTTGATTAACGTTCTCAAATTACTTTAGCCAAAAGACAAGGTTGTTGCATGTTGTTCCCCTCTGTACCTGAAACATCATCCGTTTTGAGCTAAGATATTTTTTTCTTCTTTCTAAAGGTCATTTGACACAGCACATAATCTGGTTTAAAAACATAGTTACCAACAACAAATTAAACGATATGATATATTATCTCAGTGTCTAAGAACTTTTTCACGCTGCGCCATTTTAAAAAGAGCAGGCAAAAAGCATGTTAATCAAATTTGTATCCCATATTTCACGAAATGAAAACCGACAACCGTCTAAATGCGAACCAAAATTATTATTAGAAATTATAAAATTCCACTTCTAAATTTCAATTTTTTATGTACTGAGAAGAGTTTTTGCATTTCGCTGAAACGTGCTGTGTACATCACGTTTTTATTAAAGAAAGATTCGAACACAAGCGTTTTGGCTTAACTAGCAAGCGTTCTTTGACAGCGAACGGTTCTCACTGCGTCGCGGACGTGAGAAAGAGGAAAACAGGCTGTCTTTTTTTTCGTTTATTCTAAATAAAACAAAAGTCGCTAAAAAAAAAGGCGCTATTGAAAGAAAAGAAGTAAGGTTAGGAACATTTTTAAGTGAAACTAAAAAATATGGAAGTTTTACGAATCTTAAGAATTGAAAACTAGCTAGGTTTCCCAGTATTAGGAAAACATCGTTGGCACTTTTGAAAAAATTTTATTTAACTTTACAAGGTGGATTTCAGCAAAGAATAATTTTTAGTATCATTGATAGTTTGTTTTCATGCCTAACTGAAAAGAAACTCTCAAATTCGCTACTTTCTTGTCGCATTTCCTAATATTGAATTTTGTCTGAAACCATTAGGATTCTATAGTTCAGTTCTAAAAGTTCAATTCCTTTCGTGAGGAAAAAACTGAATGATGTTAATGGCGAGAACAAACCGCTTACATGTACAAAACATCACCTGGCTTTTTGCAGCATAACTGCTTCAATGTATCCACCAAAGACCTTAATTGAAACTAAGGTGGCATCGCGGTATAATCATAATAATATTGAATATAATTCACGCGCTGGTAAAAGAACATTCTTTAATTACGTAATGACAAAAACCCACGTGTGGATGGCCTAAGTGCTAATATGCCAGCGAAAGATCTAATCCTTGTCATTTACGCTGATCAATCAAGTTTTTTATTTAGGATTAGTTTTGTGAGTTTTCTCCGGATGAATTATATGTGCTATAGTGCAGTGTTGTTTCTGTGCAGTTTGTTTGTCTTTGGCTGTAAGACCGGAAAATTAGGGCTGTCTTTGGCGTACCGCGCTTAATTTTACCGACATAGGACTGTCGGTGTATATTGGTGGTTCTTCATTTTCACTGACAATAATAAAACACGTTGTTAAAAAATTGATATGGCTTCCGAAGGCAATTAGCCGCATTGAATTGAACGAAAAAGAGTTTTCGGGAAAGGCGATCACCGATTTGATTTCATTTGATCCCAAAATAAACAAATAAGATTTTGGCGAAACCTCAGTTGCCCTTTCTGCATGAGTTTCGAGAGAAGAAATGATAAAATTTTAACGCCTGGTTAAGATATTTTGACGCAATCATCGTTACCGTTTTTGTTGATTACATCCGATGATTTGAAAATTTCCTTTAATTGAAATTATCTTAAACGTTGTTGATATTCTTTTAAAAGTTGAGATATTTTTCGAGGCGACTGTGAACGTAAATTTGAGATTCGGCGCATTAGAGCGAGGACAGCGGCTGCGAATGATGTGGTTCGGCTGATTTCCTGTTTTTCCTATTTCAAAGCGATATATTCGTGTCTTTATGATTTGGGTTGGGAAAATAGCCTTATTGATAAACGCTACTATTTAAAAACAAATAACTTGAGAAATATCACGTATTTACACGCTGTGAGGCGACAGGCAGACATCTACGGAAAACAACGGGTGGCGCCCTTGAAAGACGTAATCTGACTTCCTCCCACGTAATCTCACGTAGTACGCGTTTTACACGCGTCGCGCGCGGCCTAGCAAAAATTCTTGATGGCCAAAGCGAACGTAGAAGCCATAATTAAGTTTATCACTTAAATAGACCATTTTCTGTGCAGCAAGCACGTAGAAGGCATTGTTAACGGTAATGTAAGTGTTTATTTAGCACTGCTTCACCTGACCGCTTGGAACCCTCTTAAAGTGAAGTTGACACTTTTAGTAATTACGTTTTTACGAGACGCGGCGGCTCCTTTGATGTGTGCAACCTTGGCTAACATCATTGAAAGGACAATGGAACGCTCTCATCAAAGAAATTATGCGCACTTAACAAGGGAGGAGAGGTTGGGGTAACGTCATAACGCGGCAAAAAAAAATAACAGTTCCGAAAAATCTACCACTCCATCTTTTGAAATCAGAAATGTTTGACAAAATTTGGGAAATATTCACCGCAAGTCTTGTAATCATAGAGTGTTTTTTTTAATTCTTGCATTTGAAGGATTATATTTGCAATAAGCCGGCGCGCTCTTAGGCAGGGATATCGCAGTTCTCATAGCGATTTAGTAAAGTACAAGGCGAGACATTTTCATAGACATAAACATATCTTTGATTTGATTATAATTGGTCTTAATAGCTCGACCAAACACTCAAAGCAGGGAGTAATGCAGAAATTAGTGTTTTAGTGAGTTAAAGAACAAAATATTGGCCAAGAGAAGATGTACATAGATATTTTTAAGGACGACGAAGGGGTTTTGATCTTTTGTGGAACCCAGTTGTTGGAGTAATGCTCAAGACCATCGAATTATTTTGATCTCGTTTAAAAGAGTTTTTTTGCAAAAACTTTTCAACCAGATTTCCTGGTTACTAGTTCTATTTAAAACTAAACTGTTCAAACTAGACATCATGTCAAAGGCTTCCATCTGTCTGTGAATCTTGTTATATAGGACTACCAATTACGAAAAAAAAATCTAGCTTTATTGCAAATCAAGCTCTGATTCTTCTTTGCAGCTGGAATCTTGTAAGATTTTATTTATGTAGTTATTCGTGAATTCTCTGGTATTTAAGTCATTTTGGTTTCCTGTTTATTAGCGACACGAGTGGGCTCAAGGTACGCTTTAAACAACAGGTAAACAAAGTAGGTAGTTCCGGTTTTACCTACATGCGTTATGCAGACGACAAATTCGATATTTTACCTCATCCGTCGGTGAAGGCGGCAAATTTCCCTTATGTCGTTTGAATCTGCTCGTTGTCGCTTGATAGCATCAAAATGAGATCTTTCCCTTTGCTGGGCGAAAATTTAGTTAGCAAGGCTCATTTGTGTACCACGTTAACATTAGGAAAGGTTAGACTATTAAGCACAGCTATAAGCGCCAAATGCGATTACACATTATCAATAGAAGCAGAAAGAGTTTAATGTTCATTACGAGGGTTGGGGGTACGCTAAGAAGTACTCCTTATCTTTCAACAAAAATCCATGTTTCTCTGCATAGCCCATATCGTGTGAATCACTTGTAATTTTTTGAAGGATCGAGGTGTGAAACTTTGAAGAGAAAAGCCGCTAAACTTGGGCTGGACTGACATCAAGAATGTAGGAAATATAATTATGATGACGTCGGCAATCTTCTCATTTTTTATTGGCCCCTTTGACTGATCGCCTGATTAATCACTGTCAATCACAGTGTCGGCGTCCTTTGATGTTATTCCTTTAGAGTTGCCGCCGACTCTTGAGGCTCATATACCAGCACAACACAGCGAGGCGAAATAAATTCGAAGCAGCGAAACTCGAGGGTTTTTCCACGATAAACGAGGCTAAAATGCCTCAACTACCCAACAGTTCAACCGAAGATCTCGGCGCGGACGATGAAGTGAAGGAATATAAGCAGGAAGATGGTGAGGACTCTGAGAACGGTACGCATTTAGACCTCGTGAACGATATCAAGTCTGACCTGATCAAAAAAGAGACCGAAAATTCAGAGGTGAGTAGACCTTTTTATAATTTTATCCGTAAGCCAAGCCGTTTTAAAGCAAGGCTTATTTTTTCATGCAAGTTGGCCGACTTCCTTTCTGCTTTGCGCTTCGGTGTCGCTGCAAGCAACTTTGGTTCGTTGGATCGGGGGACAGTTGCAAGCGGCGTCCTCAAAGTCTCGAACATAGAATCATATTGTTTAGAAAAATAGTAAATAAACTTTTATTTTTTACCGAAAGGAATACGCCGTCATAATTTTTGCTGCAGTTTCTTGCAAGAGATTAGAAGTTCCAAGCACTCGGCCGAAAACTTGTGCAAGTTTCGCTAACGTGTCTCTCACCCGAGTATGTTATTTGCTCCGATTTTAAAATTTCTCGCTTCGCGGTTTAAATAATCAAAGGATGCCGCCACTAGCCCCAAGTGGCCTCGAAAAAATATACATTGTCTAGCTCTTGGGGGAAATTTCGGCAGCAGAGTTTGTTTTGATGTTATATATTTATCTAAACGGCGGGTTGTGGTGAAGTCTAAATCGTTCGAAACTCTTTCTTTAGTCTCAGAGAATTTCATGGTTTTTCTCTCTATTCGCGAGTTATTCTGTGCCTTTAGTGGTTTACCGTAGGCTCGATAGTAGGTAAAGGCTTTTTAACACTTGTAATTATATCTTAGGATCGGATTTCAGTGCTGCAGCTCAAGTTTTTCACAGCAAAGTTCGCCGACCATATTTTAAGTGATTTAGTTCAGCGCTATTTTTGATATTTAGTGCTGGTCCTTTTGTGGGTTTTTTAGTATAATTTCCTCTTTGGAATAGTTACTTTTTCATTCATTGTCCAAGTGTTTTCATATTTTGACGTGCTGTTTGTGCTTTCAACGGCACATAATTCGCGAACGATGCTGTATTAAAACGCCTTGGTTCACTTGGGACAAACAGCGACGTGCAATTTCCAACACCCCGGCTGAGCTGAATATGCCAACAGGCTCTGTACTTGGGGAACTTGTGGACGTGTAGATCGTAGAGATGCATTTTTCCGTTGTTTAAATCGGTTTTGACAATGATTGACTTGATTACTGGTGTGGAAAATTGGAAGTACAGGATAATTGAAAAATATCAGAATGCTGTGTTGACGTGACTTTTTTTCTAACCTGTCCGACTTCAAACTTCGAAATGGGTTGATTTCGCGGGAAATTCTGAAGGGTAAGCTGTTCTCTCTCGCGCGCGGTGCTGATCACACGTTCCAAAAAAGCACTTGTACCTTGCATTTCCGGTAAGTTTTTCTAGCGTCAAGAGGCAACGAATTAGGAACTTAGTGAAATTGCTGCTTTTCTCGTCAGCTCTCAATGGCGCTTCCTTTGTTTCTAGGAAAAAAAAAAGTGGCGATATTTGCGGCCCGAGTTTTGTGTGAAGAGCACACTATTTCCTCTCAATAGACCTGCTAGCAAGAACTCAAAAGCGTGTTAAGAGCTTAATTGGAAAAAATCACCCAAACACCTATTTTAAAATGAAAAGATATCATCTGCTGTTTTGCCTCCCATTAAGAAGGGCAAAAACTCTTGAAGCCTTTTTCATTTACACCTTTAAGTTGCCCTAAGCTATCTGGGAACTAGGTCATATGTGGCCTTTTGTGCGTCTATAAAAATCCTCTGGCGGATCGTCGATTAATAATAGCAGATTTCTTAAATCTCTGTGTATTGAAATGAAGCCTTTCGCTTTCGAGTCCATTGATTTCTGTCCATTTTCAGTCGTAAATTACATTTCCATAGGCAGATGGCAGTATTGGTTTATCTGCTCGAGGCTGTGAAACAGATAACGAAATTGCCGCAACGCAAGAAGAGCGAACAAACTGTAAAGCTTGCATTAAAACATTTTAACGGCCTTTTTGATATTGATCGATTAACTAGCTTACGAAATTTAGTTAAGCGATCGAACAATTTTTTCCATCTTTTCTATGGTGATTTTGTAATGTTTCTCCGGATTCAACTTAAAATAGAGCCGACCACTTTTAGAACGAGAAAATTGCGCCTTCTGCACAGCTGAATTTTTTTGATATAATTAACTTGAAACGTTCATTAAAATTTGGTCACCTCCTACCTAGACTAAATTAACGTGTCATTTTCTGAGTTCTCTTTGATGTTTCCTATGTTGTCCATTTTTCTTTCAGAACTTTTGAAACTAAAATTTGTTCCAAAAAACGCATTTTCACAATTTCTCCTGCACCTGTAGCAGGAGTTTAAACTCAGTAGAATTGAATAAGAACTTGAAACTTGTTGGTTTTAGGTGCAATGACATTTCAAAATTTTCAATGATTTTGTGTAGCTGGTTCAACATTTTCAAGTGGAAGTCAGCTAAAAGTGTTATTATTGTCTTGAATTTACCTGTTTTGTTTAAATTTTTAAAAGGATGTTCAAACTGTTTACTATCCTTGCAGCTGAAAAAAGAAAGCTCATTTAGACAAAAGAAATGGTCAAAGTAGGAGGTTAAATGATTTTCATAAGTGAGACTTATAGCAAAGCAGGCCTTTCTGTGGAAGACCAGACCAGATGATAGCACTAAGGTCTAATGGACTTTAGAATCAAGCACTTCTTGGTCAAACTGTTGATTGGCGATTAGTCTAGCAATCAAACATGCAACGTCTTTAACTTGTTCAAAGTCATACTCTTTTCTGGAGTGTACATCTCTTTCTTTCTTGTGAGTGGCTAACACTCAGAATATCAGCATTGGAAACACTTCACGGAGGCCAATTTACATTATCAACTCAGTTGTTAAAACTAAATGATCTTGTATGTCTCATTCCTTAGCTGAATATACTGGAAATGCATCAAGTTGTTTATAACAGAAATTCAAGTTAAATGTTGTTTTTTTGTGTGTGTATATTTTGTGCTGTTTTAAGCTTTAATAGGAGAAAGCTGTCTAAAATGTTTTAATGTACTCATTACTTTAACCCATTATCTAAGTTACTTGCTACACTATTTTCATAGAAAAAAAACCCTGGGGGGGTGAAATTACTCCTTTTCAAAATTATCTTTTGTGGGTAGTTTGTCCAGCTCAATAAACTTCTATTTAACCCTTTAACCTTTCAGACTGATTATCATCTAATTTCTCCATACATTATCACTGCTGAACACTGAAGTCATGAGAATAAAAAAAAATGATCACTGCTTTAAGAAGCTCTTGACTGGTAGACAATGATCCTCCTGGCCAGTGCCAAAGCAAATGTATATGGAACAGTATGGAGAATACATTAACTCTTTACACCCTAACATCAGTATCCATTTTCTCCTCACTCTTCTTTATACATTTCCTTTGGTCTGGACTAGGAGAATTTGTTTGACAATCAAAGCATCATAGGTTGCGGATCATTTTCTTTATTCTCACAATATCAATGAATGGTTCAGCAATAATTATTGTAAGGAGAATTTGGATGCAGGTCACTCTTAGGATTTAAAGGGTTAACTGGTGTTAGGGACTAAAACAGTTAGTTGTTATTTAAGTTTAAGTAAAAGCACTTAGGCATAGTGAGGCTTTACATTTCTGATCAAGTGTTCTGATCTTCTTGCAATTAGGATTCTAAACAAAGGTCAGATGCGAGTTCAGCACCAATTGCCCAACTCCTTTCATTTCCCGATCGTTATAATGAACATTTAAACTCTGGATCTCATCCGGGGTATTCCCGAGGGGGTCCTGTGCCGCCACCGCAAGATGACATGAAGCATGTTCTACAACGTGGGCCTGGCTCGCGACCTGCGGGTATCTTTCACCCTGCTCATCATCATCATCCATACACTAATGCCCCGCAGTATCAATACACTATGTACCCTGGAGTCAAAGGACCGGACAGTAGAAGATATCACTATGATCCTCCTTTGTGGTGAGTGAATCAATTAACAATGAGAATTCATTTTTTGGTGCATCAGATGATGTCAAAATGTGGTAAGAACTAAACAGAGGCAGTCAAGGTGCAGCCAAGTTTGTTCCTGATGTTCTTAGTAAGCATTGTGTAAGTGGCTTTTAAACATCAGTTAACAGAGTAGCACCCTAGAGCTTCATGCTGAAATTCGCCAAAATGAAATGTTGAGCAAAATGGGATTTCCCTTGTATTTAATCCCATCTTTTTTGTTGAACACACTGTTTTCAGTCCCTTGACTCAAATTTACCCTGAAAAAATGTCGAAGGGAAAATATTTAAGTGTCAGAACAGAGCTGACTGACACTTCCCAATCTTAAATGCATTCGGCTAAACTTTCCAAACTAACCACTGTCATCAAAAAGCTCGTATAGAAAATGACTGAATGGGAGTAGTTATAATTAGTTTCAGTTTGATCAGTTCTTGAATAGCTTACTAATCTGTTAAGACTTTATCTTCCATGTCTGTCCTTATAGGCAACCCCACTCACCCATAATCGGCCAGCCACCATCTCAGTATCCAAACTACCCAAGCCAAGTTGGACCAACATCAGCTGGCATTTCAAGACTCTCTCACCCAACTATAACAGCGGACCCCCGTGGGGTCTGCTGTCCACCGCCTCCTCCAAACCAAACAGTTATAAGTCGCACCCCATCAACTTGTGGAACTGGAAGGTGATGTTCTTAGACAGCATTGTTCCTTTTGTCCCTAAAGAGTACCTAGCATATAATTTCTCCTCACATAGTCACTATGTAAAGGGCTGATAAGTTTCTAAGGGGCTTTATTGTTTCTAGGGTTTCCCAATATGGGAACCCATTAGAGTCAGTATTTGTTAGAAACTGACTAAGAGCTGAAATGGGAGCCTTTTTCTTTCTTGCCTGCATTGTCATCCAAATTAACCCAAGCACGTACTTTCTCCTTACAATATTACACTTGAATTGAGCATCAAAGTTTCGAGAATAAAGGAAATGATCGTATGACTCAAGAAGCTTCTATTCTCCTGTAATATAGAAAACAGTATGGAGAACTTAGGGTGCAAAGGTCAATGAATGACCTTAAATTTGTAGTATGTATTTCTATGGCTCAAAATTTACAATATGTTTAAAACAGAGACCAACAAAGACTT